AAGGATGGGACAGAGTTTAGCAGTAGTCCTAGAAGATATTCTTACTCATCTAAAAGCAGGGACAAGTCACCAGTCAGAGACCAGGGATCCTCTGCTAAAACAGTCCATTGGTCTGAATTTATCAGGAACCTCTTGTAGATAAAACGCTGAGAACCTGGGCAAAAATCCCAGGCCTGTTTATGACCACCTATAGATCAGAAAGGTGACAGCTCTTCTCCAGACACTATGAAAGTGGTCTGTTAATTTGCAAGGACAAAATATGAGGTAAGGGTCATAAATATCTGTATTATCTAATATACTATACCTTTGTATAGTTGACAAACCGTAGTATGAGCCAGAACAAGAGAAAACTGTCTCAGCAGGGAACCAGTTGAATAAAATAATATTGTCTGTTAGAGTGGTCTAACATACGTTTTTGCCTTCCCTGAGAGTTTGGCATTAAAAACAAACTCAGTTAGAGGAAAGTCCATCTGTACTTAGGTTACTTTTCCCCTGTTCCTCTATTTTTGCTTCACTTTTAATTGAAAGGATTTACCAATTAGTGATGGCAGCAGAAATGCAGAAAGTCCTGCCTTCACTGTCAAAGGTTAGATGAATTGTTATAAGAAGGTTTTCACATGTTCAAATCACTCATCTAGAAAGCCATGGATCCAGGCTGGTGTTATATTGACTGTTTTCTTTAGGTGAGAAGCCTGAAGGTATACCCTTCCTTCAGGGACATACCAGTAAGCACAATAAAATTAAACACATCTATGTTCCCCTGCTGCCAGTTCCTTAGCTTTTTTAAGTTTGCGAGATACAGATACAGTGCACAAGACGATACACATTGCTTAGCTTTAACAGAAGTTTATTTGTAAACTTTATCTTACAAAGGAGCGTTTCATTCACTAAAAAAATCCAAATCTGGAAATCTTACTGTAAACATGTACTCATTTACATACATTTATTGTATTGAAAGAGAAAGCAAGAAATTATCACTCACTTGGTTGTAGACATGAGAAAAAATATTTTTTAATGCATTTGTCAATAACTTTTATTTTGAACTTCCAGAAAATGTGGGGAGAAAAAAAGAGAGTGGAAGAAAATGGTTCAGTTTTGAAAGAATAATTGAGAGAGAGGTTGGGGAATAAGTGTTAATAGCAGGCCATCCAAAGGTCAGTGAGCCTGATGAATTGAATACTTTTATATTGGAACAAACCATAGGACTTGTACGCAACCTGGTAGGAGCCTTCCTCCATTTGTCCTTGTAAATGGGAGCTGTGTCTTTGGAGTCATGCCAGGGTGGAACTGCTCATTCATTATTACCACTTAAGGCAAATGGTCATAGCCCTGTGGCACATAAAATAATGAGTGTAGCTCCCATTTCTCAGATATGATGCATATATTATGCTTCACATATGGTCAAATGTGTGCTGGTTTTAGGAGAAGGTACAAAAATTACTACAATGAGTAAAGCTCTTAAGGAAGCAATTCAGTGAATAGGAAATTTTGTAATTGGAACCATAATCAGTGACTAATGCAGAGCAATAGGCATGTTAATAAAATAGGATAGGATTAAAAGACAAAACTAAATTTAATCAGAACCCAGCATACCTGCTCATGTGAATAATTTCAGATATATTCTTAATCCTATTAGTTTCATCTTTTCCCTCCACTGAAAACTGAGTGTTTAAATAGTATCTTCCATTTGAATTGAAACCAGGCTTCTCTAACTAGTAAGAACTTCACCTCATGTTATTCCTGATATACATTATGAAAGTGTTCTGCATGAAAGGTCTGGCAACAAATGGCATAATAACCAGCTGTTTTAATAAGATGGCATAAAAAGAATACTGATAGCAGGTGAATTTTATGCTGCTTCAGGTACTGTGTGCATGCAGCACTGGATGGACCCAGCATGGATTTTCCACCAGTGTGCTGTACAGATTCTGTCCAGAGAGAGGGGCCTCCTCCCTCCCATATCATGATGCCTTTTCTCTTGGGTGCAAACACAGCCATGTATCTTTTCCTGACAAGCTGGAAGGTTCTCTTGGATAACACCAGCACACAGCACAGGCTGGCATCGGGCCTTCCAGGACCAGTAGGTCAGACATGCCTTGCCCAAGATCATCACCTCCTTGAGTACTGTTACTTCCATGAGGCTCCCAACACAGAGAATATAATATATATGATAATATATCAAAATAATTTGCTGTGGTTTAATTCACTGTTCTTTTTTATTATGCATATTTTATCATTTCATCATACATTATGCTGAAACAACTGAAATGCCTGGCTCTAAAATTACATTGCCATTTTATTTTCAAGATATTTGAAGGTCACTTCTATAATTGTCGGGGAATTAGTAATTATTTGGATTTGAATGAATACTTATGAATACTTGTACATTACAAAATATTTTGTACCTAGTAATTTTTGTATTAACCATTCTTTTGTGTGTTCTTGTAAATTGTGAAACCTGTGATGCATTAGATGGAATTTACAGATATTTTTATTTTATGTATTCATGCTTGGGTTTTTTTGCTGTGATATAAATAGAAATAAAAATACCAAAAAGGTATACGTGATTTGGGAAATCCCTGGGTTCTGGTAATTATTGATCCACAGCAGGTGGTTTAATCTGATTAGAAGTGCAGCTGAATGGAGAAGGGAAGCTATATGGAAACAGGTGTCTTTTTTTCATAAAGATTTTCAAGATTTAAAAAAAAAAAAAAAAGTCATTTAGTCCCTGGGTCAAATCACCACAGGTGAGTGGTGTAGCTGGCCAAGAGTTCTCGGTGGAATTTATTTAGTTTCTCCCTATGGAAAGTTGTGCAGCTTATTGTTACTGGGAGTTGGATATTGCTCTTCCATAGATCAGTGCCGTTAGCACTGAGCAGTAGGGTAAGTTTCTTGCCTTCATCCTCAGGTGTAAAACCCAAACATATTCTGAATTCTGCCTGCATTTAACGTTCTACTTTGCCTCTGAAACAATTCAGAAAAAAAATATTCCTCTTACATTCCTCTTTATCATGTTGTTGTAATTTACTCTGTAATATAGTGTCTCATTTATGTGACAATCTTACATACAAGAAAAGGAAATTCTTTTAAGCTCTTCATTCGAAAATGGTTCTTTTCCCTTAGCTGTCTTTCAGAATTCCAAACCTTAAAGACACTTTCAGACATTAAACTATTTTTAGAAACCTAATCCATTTGAGTAGCAAGCTGTTCTCTGAAGAATTTTGTTAGTGTTTTGTGATGTTTAGAAAAAAAACTATGTCAAGAAGACCAATATTATTACTTGAGATGATTTTCTCCTTTCCAAGTACATGCAAGAGACTTCCTTTGGGATCAGACCCTCTTCTAAATTCTGTGGAAAGGATTGTAGGGCTGGAGTGTCTTTATGAACAAGACCATAAGTTGTGTGCTGCAGTTACACTTGAAGCACAGGGTTGTTTCTATTGCTTGGAGATTTATTATTAAAATAATTATATTCAAAAAGTGTTGTATTTCTTTATAATTGACCCTGCAAAGAATTCTCATGCTCGTGTGAGATCATGAGTGGGCAAGGTCAGAATCTAGAACATCTGTTTTTCCACTTTTCCATTTTAGTGCTACTGTTGATTATTTTCTTTATGGCATTGTAACAAAGGGTCAGGGAGATTATGTGCCTATTAATAAAAATCAGCACGTTAAGAATCACCAGTTGGAAACTATTGAGGAGACCAGCAGAAATGCAAACATTACAGTACAGTCTGCAACTTGTTAAATTATATGACATCCAATTTGGAAGGTATTTTTAATATTACTCACAAATAAAATAACGTAAAAAAACCCTTGCAAATTAAGTTTCTTAGAATAAAGTAATGAAAAGGTAGTCCAAGATATTAAATGATTCAGATTTCCTCTGGGAAAATATTTATATGAAATTTAATAGGCAGGGATTAGCTTTCTCTTTGTTTAATGAATCATTCTGTATATTTAATAGAAAACTATAATCTTGCTGGAGACTTCTGTGAAATAACCAAGAAAACCAAAAGCAGGTTAATCATCTTCTATTGAGATACTTGGTGTTTTTAGAATAATATTATATAACTGAATTTGACCACTCTGAATTTGTGTAGGATATTTCATCTCTCTGAAAAGACCTATATATCTTATCAATAAGAAAGCTATTTCTTCAGCTTTTATTATGTGTACATCTTGTCAGCAGCATCAGTGTATTGTATTCAATTTAAATTTCACCTGGTGCCCTGGGTGGTTGATGAAGGGGAGCAACTGTTTCCGAAGTTCATTGAGATGAGTAGCTGAGACACTGCTGTACTTGTGTGCCATAGTCCTGGCTACAATTCCTGACCCCAGAGCCTGGTTCCATGGTCTAGTTGCAGCTGCATAATTTAGGAGCAGCCTCTCTAGGAAAGACAGCATAGCTCTGGATCCCCCCTAGGTCCTCTGTGATGCTGTGGAAATATATTAAATATTTTATGCTATGGGGATACTTTGGGTTGGTTTGTTGTTGTTGTTTTTTCTCTGCTATTATGGTGTTATTTTTGTTTTTGTTTGAAGAGTTAGTAGTGTATGTTGGAGGGGGACGTATTTGGGAACACTTTCTGCAAGTCAGTGATCCTTCTGGTGGATGCTCAGCTGTTATCTTGGGGGGGGGCAGATCAAAACCAGATGAGGGAGGAAACTATCACTGAGGTTACAGGGATAAAGAGATTCAGTGCTTGGATCCAGCTGCCTGGCTCTCCTTTGTTCATACATGCCTGTGCTTAGTCCTACCATAGGCACTGACTTAAGGCATATGCCTGGAGTTCCTTATTCAAGAGCCTGGTCACTCTGGTGTCTCCAGGAAGTAGCACATCCTAATTAACAACTATATAAAATAATTTCTATTTGCATTTATGTGCTACTAGTAATGAAACCCATGCTATTTGAATAAATATTTTAGGTACATTTTTATTAAAGTTATACAATGTTTAATGGGAACGTTTGGTTTTGTCTTTTTTTTCCCCCTGCAGCTGTGACTCTGAAAACAGGTATCTTGGAAATCCACTTAGGGGAACATGCTACTGTGAGTACTTGTATTTTTAATGTTACATACTAAAATGTTGGTTACAAATTGTGTGATAATTTTATTTCGTTGAAATACCAAAATATTTTTCTTGAGATATTCTGAAGTTGAGCACATTGATATTTTGACTGGAAAATAAAATGCCCAATTGGGCTTCTCTTACTTTGTCCACAGGAATACAAACTGAAGTCTTCTAAAAGTTGATTACTTACAGCTGGTTTAGAGGGACTGACCAAGGCATGGGGTTATTCTCTGTATCTCAACATATGTGAATGAAAGGAATAGAAATTGTGTCCTTGATTAAAAGACAGAATCTGTGGTAGGGAAATGCAAATAGGCTAAACAGTACTATTCCCTGGGGACATTATGAATGGTTTAGCCAGTCTGCCTCCCAGGGACAGGATATACAGCTGCTCTCCACAGTATCATAAAATGATACTGTGTGTTGTCTCCATGTTCTTAATGTTGTGGAAAAGGTGCCTCTGGCACATTTACTTTAAAGCATTACAGTTTTGATAGTCATAGGGAAAGACCTGAAGGGATAAGAGTGGTTATTACCCATGTGCAGAAATCCCTTAGTGAGCTGTGACAATTTTGCTGTGCCAATATCAATGTTAAATAGTAATTTTAATCATCATAAAAACAGATGGGATGTTGGAGAACACTATTTTACCTTTTGTGACTTTTGCACATCCCGTCTTAATGTCAGAAAATTGGATCCATTTGTCTATTGTTTCTGACATCATTCCTACTTCAAACTTGAATTTATACATAAAGACATATCACTGAACATATTTATAACATCTGTTCTGATTTTTGGCCTTGCTTTTTAACATTTCTTTTCAGAACATGCACAAAAGCTTTACTTTAGAATATCTCTAAGGCATCATTTACCTAATAAAGTAATGTTTCTTGTCTTAACTAATCTATCTTTCTCACCCTAAATGCTTTGCATCTGCAAGGTACATTTTACAGAATAAAATAGACACATACTATCTTATGGATGCTGACGTATCTCTAGGCCTAAAACATTTATTCCTCTTGCCAGCTATTAAAGAAATTTGGTGTGGGTTGTTTTGTTTTTTTTTTTTTCTCTCAGACAAGTTAAATCCAAATGTAATACTTTAAACTAGAACATGAATTTTAAATGTTGTAGACTAAGTTGAAAATTCTCCCTGGAGCTGTGTCCTAAAGATACTGTTAATCAATAAAATCGGTTCCGTTTGTTGTTTTTTTTTTCTTTTAATAAGAAATGCTTCTTATTTCAAAACAGAAATTTCAGTATTTAGTATTTTTGTATTTATATAATATTTTTTCTATGTTTAAAGCAATATAATGAGTACATGAGAAGTTTGTGCTCTGATGATACTGCTGTTTTGGATATGTGTGTCAATGTTTATTTGTCCTTTAAAAATAAATGTTATTAAATTTAAGAGATGGAAAAGAAATGACAGTAATGAGATTTGTAGACCTGAGGCACCTCAATGAAAAACTGTATTTTTTTTGCTATCATGTTTCAGACTGGGTCTATAAATCATGTTGGAGACAAATTGTACTATATTCAAGATGCCCTTTCACCTTTAACTCACTACTAGTATTTGTCTTCTGTCAGATTTCAAAATATTTTAAAGATCTTGTTGTTTTAAAATGATAAATTTTCATTTAATACTTTCAACCACTTAAGTACCACATATAAACAGTTTTCAGAGTTATTTTATCTGGAGGTAATAGGGAGCATGTGCTAATTAAAAATAATGGAATTCTACATTTCTTATATTTAGTGAATGGTGCATCATAGTAGGAAATAATCTGTTAATTTATGGATAACTGACTGACCTAAGATCTCAGTGACAATTGCTTATCAGCACAGTCCATTACCTGCTAAATCATATATTAAAAAAATATTTACATCATAAAGAGATGCTCCAATTTCTTATCTATATAAGTATTTTAAAATATGACATTACAATGTTTCAGTTTTGTACAAGACATGTTTGGATGATATTTTTTCTGTGCTTATTTCACTACTTATTAGAAACTTTTTCTTTAGACACATTGTTTCTTCACTTCTTGAAGTGAAGAATATTCTGTTTTTTTACAACACAGGAATAGTTGTTGCTCAAAAGGAAGGAAAATACTGGGGAAAAATAAATTGTATATACTTATGAGCAACATAAGATTATGAGAAATAAAAATTCTAGGCACTTATGTTTCTACTACTTAGAATCAAAATCAGTGAATTTGATTAGGAATTCAGATAGTGATACTGATTCCAAAATAGGAATACAGATAGTGATTTGCTCTGTGGTTAGGATCTTCTGCAGGAAAGTTTTTAGTCCCATGCTTGAGTTTAGCCATTTTCAAGATGACCATTTTTAAGCATTTAAATTTTTTTTTTTTTTCACTTGTGTAAATACTGCCCCAAATTGGAATGGCCTTCTAAGCAAAACCTTAGAATTCCTTACAGTCCTGAGTGTATGGATAATTTCTGTGTGATATTGGAGGACCTTGATTTCTCTTTAACAGCAGAATGTGGATTGAGTGATGCTTGTTGTCTTAGAGGAACTTGATGCAACTTGAATATCCACTACCCTAGAAAAGTTCAGCTGTTTTCGTATCTTCCATCTCTGCCCAGCTTACCTAGTCCTCTCCTCCCTCTTGCCTGTCAGTGCCATCCTCAAGCCTAGGAAGTGGGAACAGACAGGTGTTGGTGTAGGTACTGGTATTGACATCACTGGACTATTTAACATAGTAGATAAAAATACAGTTCACCAGTGGGGGAGCACAGATTGTTTTAGTTTCTTCCTTACTTGTTTCCTTTCGTAGTGATGTAGAAGAGTAAGCAGAATATTTGTGCTGTACATGGACTGTGTTGTGATCAAAGAAGTGATCTGAACACAAACAAAAACACAGGAAAATTACAGATGGGTCTAGCATGGTCAGAAAGAATGAGATTTATGTAGGAGGGAACACGCTGAAACATTGCAGGGACTTAACCTACCATGCCAAAAGGATCCACAGAGAGAGCAGCAACACCATCAAATCCTAGAGATAAGAGAAACAGTTTGATAAACATCAGATTTCATTCTCATATAGCATTTCAAAACATGGCAGCACTGTACATGAGTCGTTCTTCAACTTTAAATTATCAAAACCTAATAGAAATGGGGTAGGAAATGCATCATAGGCAGGGCTTGCAGTAGTGTATTATCCAGATTGTGTGAAAATTGTCGTTCATGGCTTCTGGAAAATTGGTTTTATTTCATTCTTCATGACTTCACTGTATTACTGAAAATGCACAACAGAGAGAACAAACTTCTCTGAGAGTAAGAGAATGAGAATGAACCTCGTAGATACAAAAATAAGAAAAATACTGCATGTATAAGAATATGTGAGCAGCTGCATGATGATCTATAGATTCTAGTACCCTGTTGTCAGAGGTGGCTGAACATGAATGCCAGGGAAAGAGTATAGCAAATGGACAAACATAGAAATTCTCTCTTCACATCCAACAATTTGCAGCTCAGGAACTTTGTGAGAGGAAGACTTCTTGAGCTAGAAGTGTTCAGTGTGCCATTGTTTAGGAATATCAGAGGAAATCTTATGAAAGCTTTCTTATACATAATAAAAAGAATATGAATGCAAAAGAAAGCTTTGTGATTTAAGAAGCTATGGGTTTTTTTGTCCATATAAATATTCTTGTAGATAGAGTATGTCTGCTTCTGGAGTGTGTCTCTCTGTATTTCTGGTAGGGAGGCTCTGTATCCATAGGCCTTTCTGTTGGAAGCCAATCTTGCTGTGAATGATCGGAAGCTGATTCATTCTGTATAAATGAATTCTGAGTGGAGGCCAGAGATGGTTGTGCAGCTGACTTATGCATGTACACAGACCATAAATATACCATTTTGTTGTGATGCATTTGTATTTGCTGTTGTTATTGTTCTTTGGTATCTCAGACGCTGTGATGTATGACAGCGACACCGAGATAGCAAAGTGTGCATCCAAATGGCTGGATTAGTTCCTCTCACGTCAGCATTGGAAATACATTGCTGTCGAAATCAGAGCTCCTGGGTGCAAGGGAACATGCAGCAAAAACAGATGGTTTTAGACAGATTGGGAGGAATCACTGGGACAAATGCCACTTCTGTGATTTTGACTTGGTTTGTATACCGACACAAGGCTTTAAATCATAAATGGAGATATAGTTAAACCGATGTTCTAGAGAAAATGAGAGTTTAAATTTACAATTCATGATTTCTTGCTATACAGAGGTTGAATTATAAGCTTGCTAACAATCACTTATTTTGAAAGGATATGATACTTCCCACAACAAACTTCTCTTAGATAGCTGTATTTCTAGGGTCAAAAGCTTTCCAAAATGTCTGGTTTGTGTACATTGTTTTGAGTGTCACCATTCCAACGCTACATATCAAACAAGAAGTACAACTGATTCTAATACTGCTGCATGCAGAACCGTAAAAGCTTACAACAAATCAGTCCTATGAGTGTTAATTTTATTGTTTGCCTGCATAGATAGAATTTCCACATGAGCTGAGCACTCAAGATTTGCCCATTCTACTAAGAAAATTCCTAGCTAACACAATGAAGTTTAAAAAATGCACATGGATTTACATAACTTAGTTTCTTATTCCCTTTTATCCTTAAAAAAATGTTTAGAAGCATTTTTTTGCTTATTTCTGAGTACCACCATTAACAGTGAAGAGAGGGAACAAAGAGCTTCTCCATTTGGTCCTGCAGACTGGTTTTTCTTTTAAAATAGGCAGCAGTAGTGAGTTACAGGGCAGCACATATTTAGAGCTTTCAGGCCTTCGAGAAGATTTTCTCAGCAATGCACAGACAGAATGTTTTCAGAATGCAATAAAATTGCAATAAATTAAGAATTTTAATTAATCTAGTGCTCATCTTTGGGCTGGATGGACAGCATTGTGGGACTGGGACTATCTGTGAACTCAAGGAGAAATCAGGTGCCGCTTGTCTTT